CACCGCTTGCCATGCCTGTCTCTCTTTAGGTCAATGTTGAGTGGGGGTGGGGGCAGCTGGATTAACCTATCTTCTACCAATTTATTCATTATTAATATTACTTCTGTCTGGTTACATCTGAATGGTGGAGATGGGGGTGGTGGTGGCCCATCATCTCTTTTGTCAGATCCATGCCCGACGCCTTTGTTCATGCATTGCATTTTGTCCATGACATAACTTTCTTGGAGTGGGCCCTGATACTGTTAATTTGCTATTTGCTATGTTAAGGGGAGTGTGTTGACTGAGCTCGCCGTTCTCTCGGCTCAGTTTGGAAGGAGTACAAATACAAATATGTGTATTTGTATAGTACAAATAATACAAAATGTAAGATTTTGCACTCTAGATATTTATATTTGTACTTCTTCCAAACTGAACCCTCAATACACTTCCAAAGGCTTAGTTTCGAAAGAGTACAAATATAAATATATAGAGTACAAAATCTTGTATTTTGTATTATTTTGAATGTATTTATACTGTATATTTTTGTATTTGTACTCCTTTCAAACTGAGCCTTTAAGTTGCAAAAAATCTAGACAATTCATGATTTTCAATGCCAATTTTGTATGATGGCTTTTAGGGGTGGCAAATGCGTGGGTTGGGTAAGGGTTGAATACCAACCCACCCATATTGACCGACCAATCCACCATGACCCACATCAATGCTTCTTAAAGAGTCATAACCCACCCTACCCATGGGTCACCCTAACCCACCCATATTGACCTTTACCCACCGCTCACTTATAAATACAGAAATGGGTCGAGTCAACCCATATACCCAAAAACAACTTTTGAGATAACAAACTCTCTTAAGTCTACCACGTGTTATAAACGGGTCAGGTCGACCCATATACCCAGAAATAACATTTTTAAGAGAATCATCGCTCAAAGCCACCACATGACAGAAATGAATCGGCCAATCCATATAACATTTTTGAGAGAATAATCTCTACCAAGGCTACCACATGGCAAAAAGGGGTTGAGTCGACCTGTATACCTGAAACTTTGTAGAAAATGCAAAAGTTTTGCAAAAAATACTAGAAAATTGCAGATAATGCAAAAATGGCAAAAAATTTGGAAAAAAATACACAAAATACCAAAAAATTTGCAAAAATATAGAAAAATACCAAAAATTGCAAAACTTTTGTAGAAAAAATAAAAAAAATGCAAAAAATTGCAGAAATGCATGAAAACACTAGAAAAATGCAGAAATTATGTAGGAAAGTTGCAAGAAATTCAGAAAAATATAGAAAACTAACAGAAAAACTGCAAAAATGTAGAAAATATCAAAAATTGCAAAAAGTGAAAAAAATGCATAACTTTTGCAGGAAAATTGCAAAAAATGCAAAAAATACCAGAAAATGCATGAAAACACCAAAAAATGCATAAATTATGAAGAAAAATACCAGGAAATTACAAAAAATGCAGAAAAATACTAGAAAATTATAGAAAATACAAAAAAATTGTAGGAAATACAAAAAGTACCAGAAAATTGAAAAAATAATACAGAAAATACCAGAAATTTGCAGTAAATACAAAAAACATACCAAAAAATTGCAGAAATGTAGAAAAATACCAGAAAGTTTAAACAAGTGCAAAAAAATACTAGAAATTTGCAAAAAAATGCAGAAAATACCAAAAATTATAAAAAAATAAAAAATTACCGAAATGCAAAAAAAATGCATAACTTTTATAGAAACAAATCAGAAAAAAGAAAAAACAAAAACCAAAAAATTGTAAAAAATTATTGGAAATATGAAAAAACATGGCAAAAAATGGTAGGAGGAAGGCTCAACCTTTACTCAGAAACCTTCGACTTGAATAGAGACTTTCGAATTACTAAAGCCAAGGATTAAAGTATCGGGTATCATATCGGATAACACGGATATAAATACATTTTGGAAATGCATGGATACGAATAAAAAATATAGAAATGTATGGATATGCTATGGAAATACATACTAGTTTTATAAATACATTAATAACACTAAATTTAAGATCAAAATACACAAAATATAAGAAATATATTACAATTAGTATATTGGGATGCGTAGCTATCATATAATTTTATTTATAATGGATCAATCAAGAGTCAAAGACACTAAATATATGCACCTATTATATTTTAATTATTATATTAATTATTATTTTATTTTACTATTTTAATTTTTTAAAACTAACAAAAAATCAACTCAAATTAAAATATGAATTAAAAATTTATAAAAATATAATCTTAACTTAGAGTATAGCAATTTTGTTAAAATTTCTACAATATATATCATATACAAATTCATAGTTTTTAATTACTAAAATAATTATTCCATTATTAATATTTTTATTTCTATAAATTTTATGAAATAAAAATCATTTTTTGAAATAAATGTAGATTAGTGCATTTGATAGATTCAATTTAATATTATATTCTTTAATATTTTTATTTTTTGTAAATAATAAATATTTTGTTATTACTTATTAATGTAAATTAAGATATTAGTTAATAATTTATAAAAACATGTAAAAATTATAAGATTTATATCATGTGTGAATTTATAAATTTTAAGTATTAAAATAATTATTCTATTATTAATATTCTATTTGTATAAATTTTTTGATATTAGAAATCATCTTTTTATATAAATGTAGATTTGATAGATTATTTATTCTATTAGTTTATAAAATAATATTTTTAAATTTTAGTTAGAGTTGTTAAATATAAATATTTATTTTTTGTTTAAAATGCATGTGAACACAAAAGCTAATAAAATCATTTATATACCACTTTTAATCAGAAAATCACATTTGGCTTGGTGGTTTGAAATGGGATCATGTTTACGCGTTGGGTGGACTCAAGTTCGAGTATCTTCAAACGTGTTTTTTATTGTGAGGCTTGGCGAAATTTTCAACCCAACCCTTGACCCCATCGACCCAACCCATCCTGACCCTAATGGGTACCTCGACCCAACCCACACTAACCCTTTTTCACTGACCCTAATGGGTTGCTCAACCCATATTGATCCACCAATAGAATGGGTGGGATGGGTGGGTCAAATGGGTTGGGGTCAAGATTGCTTTGCCCTAGCTTTGTATGCATTGCTTCACAAATTCTTTGTCACCCATTCATCTAGGATTGAGTGCATGGCCTTCTAAAATCGCATGACATAATCCGACAACCTTCTCTGGTGTGCCATTGTCATGTGCTACTTCAGCGAGAACCACTTGGTGACAAACTTGCCCATCAACTCATCCCAAGAATTAGTGCTTCCTGTTGTCAAATTCACAAAGTAGGAGTAAGCAGGACTTGTCAATGACTTGAAAAATTCTTGTACCTTTAGGTCCTCGTGTAATGCAAAGTAGCCCATGGAATCTCTGAACTTGCTGATGTGTTCTTGAGGGATGTCATGCTGACTGTCATATAGGGACTGCTGCTAGGGAAGGTAATAGCCTCCCGAGTATAGTTTGAATAGGATTTTTTTGGAGGAGGGTAGTTGTTCAGGTTTGGTTCTGGTTTGCTTTAATAAGGCCCTGCACATATTCATGCAACTCGACCTGACTAACCAGCAACATAGAGGGGGCACCGACCTCCTCAACTGTTGTGGCTAGAGGTGGTGCTACGAAAGTGGATGGTGGAATGGTGTCGTTAGTGACTTACAAAGGTCTAAGGGGAGCTGGTATCTAATAAATCAGGTTTGGTGCGTCTATTGCAGGAGCTTGTGAAGCATATGCTGATCCACTCTGGCCTCATGGCTAGGTTTGGGTAGAGAGCTGAGTGGAGCGTGGTGATTGATGGTGGATTGGCATCTAGGGATGAGCTTGATGGTGTTGGAGAGCTAGCATGAGTAACTCCTTGATCTCAACTTGTTGGTGCACCAGGGCATTGATTTGGTCTACTTTCAGTAAGAGTATAAACCTTATTGGCGAGGATCTTGAGTTTGTCACCATCTTTGAAGTGGAATGCGATCTTCATGTCATTCTATTCTAGATTCTCAGTGGAGTTCTCGAGGATGGTGGTCAAGTTGATCCTTCTTGTAGCCATCTTTTTTGATCAAGGAGGTAAAAGATTCTACATGAATGATGGCTCTGCGAGAGGAGTTTACCTGAAGGATGGTAGATGGCTCTGTGAGAGGGAGGAGGAAGGTTGCAAGGAAGCTTAGGGAAGGCTAATGTTTCAATCCGGTAGAGCTTACATAGAGGTTCTATAAGACTGAGGAGAGATTCATGCCTCCTCACCTACATAGAAAAGGAAGCGAAAACAAAATTAAAACCATAGTTTTCTCATTAAAATGTATATGTTGAAAAGTGAATTAAGAATGCACAAATAATAAATATATGTGAAGAGTGAGAAACACATATAACACATATACTCATCTAAGCCTTATCCCAATTATTTAGATAGATAGATAGATATGGATATATAGATATAAAAAGATAAAGATATGTGTGTATAGATATGGATATATGGAAGTAAAAAGATAAAGATATGCATGTTGTGCACACGCGCATGTGTGTGTGTGTGTGTGAGAGAGAGAGAGAGAGAGATAAATGTTGAACCTGCTTATTGCCTTCAGTGCCTTGTAAAAGGTTGGTTGGATGTTGTGTTTTCCTTAGACCATACCTAAACTGAAAGACCTAATTTGAAATGAGTTGCGAGAAGAGAAACAAGATCAAGGAGACTGCTTCGTGTAAACAGGGAATGAGCCAGAACTTAGCATCAAGGACATGAGTAATGGGGATTTTGACACAAACAGGGCTAAGATGACTAGAAGATCAATGTAATTAGTAGGGGTGCAAGTCAGGCTACCTGAATTGAAGAACTTCAACTACATCAGGCTGGGGTTAGGGTTTGGGACCATTAAAATTTTAACAAAAGTTGAGCCAAACCGAACCCAAGTTGCAGCCCTAGTTATTAGTTTATGTTTTCACATATCAGATGAAGCTGTATATAGAACTTACTTTTGATTGGTGGTTTTCTCGTCCTCTTTTGTATTTCTTACTAATAAAGCTGCCATTACAAATCATAAAGTGTTGAGAGAAATTAAATCAGTTACATAAATTTGGAACCCCAACTGGTAATGAAAGATTACTTACCCAAAAAGATGATGCCATTTTCCTACCCTGATAAATTTTATACAACCAAACCCCAGAAAACTGTTTTTTCCATGGATCTCATGCACTTTATATGCAAAAAGGGAGAAACTACAAATCATTTTTCTCTCTCTTTCTACCAAATTTCATTTCAAAGCATAACAATGAACCATGCATGGAAGAATTGCCAGTAGTTCCACAAACTGCTTCTGTGACTTTTCCATTTTTCTCTTATAAGACTTTCTTATAATCATCTTTGAACCAAAACTTTATTCATGAAAGAGGAAAAAGCTATCTGATTCAGTCATGCTACATCCAGGTACCTTAGTCATATTCCTTTGTTTCATAAAGCTCCTCACCTGCTCCGCATCATCAAACCTACCTGCAGCTGCATATATGTTGGCCAGAAGGACATAATATCCAGCGTTCTGTGGCTTCAACATCAATAGTTTCTTTGCAATTCTTTCCCCCACCTCAACGTTGTTGTGTACTCGACACCCACTCAAAAGAGCACCCATTACAGCCTCATCAGGCTCCACTGGCATATTTTCTATAAACTTCTCCGCCTCTCCTAGAAGCCCTGCTCTCCCTAAACAATCAACCATGCAAGCGTAATGCTTCAGCTCAGGCACGACTTTGTAATCCTCCATCATATTGAAAAAAGTCCGTGCTCTACTCACCATCCCAGAATGTGCACATGCAGACAAGACCCCAAGAAAGGTCACGTCATTCGGCTTGACTCCTTCCATAACCATTCGATCAAAAAGCTCGAAGGCAATTTGGACACCTCCGTTTAACCCATACCCTAAGATCATCGAGCTCCAAGAAATCACATCTCTTTCAGGCATTTTATGAAAAATTCTGTGTGCATAACTAAGAACTGCAGATTTAACGTACATGTCCATAAGAGCATTCCCCAAACTCAAACCCAAACACAAACACCTCCTTATAATCCACCCATGCACACTCTTTCCATGTCTCAACAACCCTAACTGTCCACAGATCAAAAGTAAGCTGACCATGACCACCCCATCAAGCCCAATTCCTTCACCGACCATTTCTCTAAATACGGCTAAACCCAGCATTGGTTCCCCATGCTGTGCGTACCCAGCCAGCATAGCTGTCCAAAGCACTGCATCTCGTTGAGGCATTTCATCAAACAGTCTTCTAGCTTCCAAAATTCTCGCCAGCGTAACATAAAAGAAAACCAATGCCGAAGCAACAAACACGTTCCTCTCCATCCCCATCCTCGCACACAACCCATGTACTGACGCACCCCAACAGATAGCCCCGGAGCTAGCGCAGGCCCTGAGAACAAGAGGGAAAGTGAATACATCCGGTTGAACGTCCGAGTTCCGCATTAGAACAAACAGTCGTATGGCTTGCTCAGGATCTCCCGACCGAGAAAATTCTCCGATTATGATGTTCCATGAGTAGATGTTTCGATGGGGCATGTGGAGGAAGACTGATAGAGAACAAGAGAGATTGTTGTGTTTGGAGTACATCATAACGAGCTTGGAGCTAAGGATGACGTTCCCATAGAGACCTGTTCGAAGCAGTCGAGTGTGGAGACTACCAAGATGTCTGGCGTTGGCGGAGGAGTGTAGAAGGGAGAAATAGTAAGAGACAAGGTCGTATGCGTCTTTATTGGCAGTCGAGATGTTAGTTGTGTAGAATTTGTTATACATGGTCCTTGTTCTTCCAAGAATAACGGTCGTTTTTTGCATTTTGCCATAAACGAGTCTGCTGCTATGTGAAATTGTGGACCTGTTTGATTGGCAGACAACCACCTGACTGGACGTTTTTACTGTCTATAACGTCTTTGCAGATGTCCTATTTGATTCAACTGTGTTTCGTTTTCTAAGTATCAAAGTATTGGCATTAGGAGCTCCGTGTGAGTGAGTGAATGCTCCGAGTCAGTGTGGTTTGAGAGTGAGCTGCGTCCGTGTGACTGATCTGGACTTGTTTTTGCTCCTCCGGGAGCGCTGCTGAAGCTCGATCTCTGTTTTTTTCCAAAGGAAATGGATGAGGAGAAAAAGTTGGTTAAGAGAGATTTTAATGGGAAAGGTGTTGGATTGTTTGCTATGGTGATTTCCGACAGGCCAATCAACGTAGTTGGAGGTATGGATCGCACACAACATTTGGTACTACCACTACGTCTCAAGTTCGAATTAGGGAGAATGCTACGTAGGAGAAGGGCTCTAGAGTAGTGGGATCAATTGGACTGGATTTGGTCCAATCCGATCCAGCCTAATGTGAGTACATTTAATACCACGCCCAATTCAATCCAATCAATGTTTTGAACCAATTTGAACCAGTTCAATTCAATGTCTGGACCGTTCAATCTGCTCAAATTCACTTTGATTTAGATTGGTTTTAACTCAAACTCAGTCCATCAACAGGTATATTCTTATCTTATACCAATGGACTAGATATTAGCTTAATCAAATCCAATCCAATATAAATTTGTTATGGATGGATCACGTCTAATCCAATCCAACCAAATCCAAGACAATATAAATTTGTCTTGTTGGTCTGTCCAATCCATCCAAATTGATTTTGGACTGTACAGGGTCCAATCCAAAACCGGTCCATTGACACCCTTACTCTAGGGTAGGGTGAAAGCTATAATGGAAAGGACTATCAGAAGTAGAGTGAAAGCCATCAAAGGAAAAAGGGCTATTTGCCATCAGAGTGTGAGCCGTTGTGGAAAGGACTACCAATTGCTAGAGTGAGAGATGTTATGAATAAGGCTACTTACCGCTAGAGTGAGAGCTGCCTAGACCTAGAGTGAAACCGTCGAGACCTCGATTATGAAAGTGTGGTGGTATGTTATAGTCGTAAATAATTAAAGTGATTGGCTTGACGCATTCCACCAGTCATAAAGCTTTTGGCATATTGATCAAGCACACAATAGGATCAAATTAAAAGAATGTGGATTTGGACGAAAAGGGAATTTGAGATAGATAGCATACTATGGATTGCTTTTGACAAGGAAAAGAACATGGATAAGGTATTAAGGGATGAACCGTGGTCGATTAGAGATTCCCTTTAGACCATCCCAAACTAGGAGATGCTCTACTATTTAGATGTGTAGGTCAGAATTCTAAATGTTCCTATGGTCTATAGATCTAAGGAAACATGTGAGCTTCTAGCGAAAGAGGCAGGTGAAATGTTCCTATGCTCAACGTTCCAAAGGAAATGGATTGCTTTTCCATTTCATTCTCTAGTTCCTGCTTTTTTTTACAAGTTCTCTCTTGTATTCCAATAATCCACAATTGCAAATATATATATATATATATATATATATATATACACTAGAAAAATTGTCCAAACAGTCAATGAGAGACATAGTTGGACTAGGCGATTATGGCATGTGGCTGAGGGTCATTGTGCGAGTAGAAGAAGATCGATTTTTAAATGCAAGGAACCATAGTTCCCAGGGTTTGAAGAGACAGCAAACAAAGGATACAAGCTTGAATAGTTATGGAAACAAGAAGAGTGGTGGAAATGAAGAACCTTTTGGTCTTAAAGAGAACCGGTCGAGGGCGATAGAGTAGTATTTCTTGAAGTTGTGGCTCTTCATTTTTATTATTCATCGCCCATCTTTGTGTCATTTAGATAGGGTGTGATCATACTGACACTAATGCACTGGATCCCATTGGATCTTTAAATTTAACCATGCTTGGTGAGAGTAGTAATAGGATGGGTGACTTCTTGGAAAGTCCTTGTGTTGAATCCCAACTTTTAACCAAATGGGGGGTGGCTCGGTTGGTTTGTTAATTGGTCCTCTCTAACATAGACATGGACCCAATTCCCGCAACCACCGACTTCGGAAAGAGTAGTGTTTGTTAAAGTTATTCATCAACCAACACTATGGTGAGCAAATGGGTATGTTCTACTCGGAACGGAATGGAATCGATGTCGAACCAGCCTTGAATTGTTCCTATCCAATCTATTACAGGGTGTTAGGGCTTGGTTCCAAATTCTTGGAACCAATCCCCACCCAAGCCGATTCCAAGGTTTAAGGGTTTACCCTACTTGAACCAACTTGATGAATGAACCTTGGTTGGCCTTGGTGGAGCTGACCTTAGAATCAAATTTTCCTTGAAATAAACTCCAAAATAATTTTTAAGGGTGTGAATATTTGAATCCAAGCACTAACGGTTACAAAGGCCATGGTTTCATTTGACCATTGGGTGACTTAAGTTAGTTGATCACTTGTTTTCATTTTAATTTTGAATGTGTATGCAAGTAATGGAAAATGTAATATTTAAAAAATTTAAGTCATAATATAAATTTTGAACCATATATTATAGGATAATTTACATATTAAATTACTCAATTTAATCAATAAAATACTGTAAGTTTTAAACTATATGTTATATTTATTGAAAATCAAGATTTTAAAAAGAATTTTCATTTTTTTGAAGGGGGAGAATAAATTAATAATATGTTCCATTGGTAGACCTTAGAACCAAGGTTCAAAGTATCGGAAACACCAATTGTATTGGAAAGGCAATTTTGAAACGTATCGGGATACACCTTGGATACAAATGCGTATCAGAGAAAAACTAAGACACGCATAGATACGCTTGGAAACATTATAAATACTTTAAAAAATTATAAAAATACATCAACAACATTAAATATAAGACCTCAATAAGGACTATATACATTAAATTAAAATATATTAATGGCTTTATAAAGAAATATATTGTAGCTAATTATAATTTCATTAAAAATCATATGCTTAACTATAATTTATAAATTATAATTCTTAAGTTTAAATGTTTTATGAGATGGGAAAAACCCAATTCTCCTATCCAATTTTAAAATATGCATTTGTACAACTTCTATGTGAAAATATATTTAACAATAATACTTATTTATTATATTGATTCATTAGGCACCAATGAAAATAAATACATATATCATTATTTTTGTTCCACATACAAGTGGACAAATGAAATGCACTCAATCATATGTCATACATTAAAATGATCATGTTTGTATTTAGAATGCATTCTATTCCTCATTTATTTTACATGGCCAAAAAAATGTTCCATACCATTTACATGAATTATTTATTTNCATTCTATTCCTCATTTATTTTACATGGCCAAAAAAATGTTCCATACCATTTACATGAATTATTTATTTATTTTGGTATTGAATAACTTGCCTTTACCCCCATAGGGGCCGTATTTCAATTTTCCTTAGCATAGTATATATATTACTTTTTTCTAGAAACATTAATAACTCTTCTCAAAGGTGGTGAGAATCGGTAGCAGGGCTCGACCTCACTTAGGACTGCCCAAATTACGTGCCAACCGAGCCACCACTCAATTGGCATACCATTTATATGAAGTTGTGGGAAGAAACCGTTAGATGCTTTTTGGTTAATAAGAAGCTTGCTATAAGTACACTCCTTCAATGTTGTTTATATGAGGTATATCCACGGAGATGAAGTCCAAAGTGCACTTGACCAAGCACACTCTGGAATTTGTGGTGCTCATCAATCAGGACCCAAGCTCCATGATCGCCTTAAACGAATGGGCTTCTATTGGCCAACAATGGTACAAGACTCAATTGAATATGCCAAAAGATGTCAGGCATGTCAAATTGATGTGGTTGGTCCCTTGCCTAAGTCTTCCCGCCAGCACCTCTTCATCCTAGTAGCAACGGATTACTTTTCCAAATGGGCTGAACTGGTTCCTCTTCGAGAAGTAAAGAAAGAAGATATTGTCAACTTTCTCCAGACTCACATTGTCTATCGCTTCGGTGTTCCACGTTACATAATCACAAATAACGGGAAGCCATTCTCAACAGCATTGGTGATACAGTTTTGTGACAAGTCTGGCATTAAGCAGAGGTTTTCAACCATGTACAATGCAGCGGCCAATGGACTTGCAGAGGCCTTCAACAAAACTCTCTGTAAGTTACTTGAGAAGATTGTGTCCAAGTTCAAGAAAGATTGGCATGAACGTTTGGATGAGGCCTTATGGGCTTACTGGACATCTTACCGCACCGTTACAAATGCAATTCTTTTCCTTTAGTATATGGTGTAGAAGTTGTACTTCCCCTAGAGAAACAAATGAACTCCCTAAGGATGGCTATCCAAGAGGGAATTACAGAAGATGAGAATGCAAAGCTACAATTAGTTGAGCTCAAAGCGCTAGACGAGAAGAGGTTAGAAGCTCAACAAAGAATAGAGTGCTACCAAACTCGTTTGGCTCGTTCATTAAACAAGAAAGTTTGTCTTCGCTCCTTTTAGAAAGGAGATCTTGTCCTTGCTGCTCGACGACCTACCGTTCTCTCACACCGTTTAGGGAGAAAATTTGACCCTAAATGGGATGGGCCTCACGTGGTGGAAGAAGTCTACACTAATGGTGCTTATCTCCTTGTCACGCCAGAAGGTCTACGTCTTGGTCCCATTAATGGAAAGTGCCTTAAGAGGTACTACTCTTAGTCTTTTGCATTGTAACGCTCTTGGCCCGCATGAGCCTAAACTGTGAATGGGAAAACAAAAAAAAAACAAGTCTTTTGCATTGTAATGCTCCTGACCTGCATGAGCCTAAACTGTGAACGGCAAAACAAAACAAAAAAAAAAAAGTTTTTGCATTGTACGCTCTTGGCCCGCATGAACCTAAACTGTGAATGACAAAACAAATGTCAAATATGAGAATTTTTCTCTTAGAAGAAAAAGAATGAAATATCAAGTCCATTTCTAACATCATTTGACTACAATGTAGAAGTTGTTTCATTTACAAAAAAGAACCACTTTTTGGAGTTTTACACAATTAAATACACTCTTACAAAGAGCAATGGATATTTCTACAAGTTGTGTTGTCACTTAACATTGACTTACATCTCATGCTTGTTGGCTGTCTTCAATTGTTTCAACTCGCCATGTTGAGCTTTTCTGCTATAGGTGTTTCACAATCTTCCTGCTTCTTGCTAGAGTATTGTCTTTGGAGGTTAAGGAAATGTGTTGTTCCACCTACTTTTATTATTGCTCCTCTATTCCTTGCCATTCCTCCTCAAAGGTACGAAACATTACATCAATGTGGAGTTTCTTGTTGTCAGTGGAAAACATGTCAACTGATCTTTACCCATTCATTCGTGTGGGTAAAGATCTTCACAACAAGCTTCCTTAGAAGGGGTATGAAGAATCTCCTCCCTCCCATGT